CGGGGGGAGCCGGGCCGGGATGGACCGGGCCGAGGGATGCCGTGCCGGTGGGAGCCGTGCCGGGGGAATGCCGTGTCGGGAGGGGCCGTGCCGGGGGAGCGGCTTCTGGCGGACGCTTCACCAGAACGAACACAAGTGCTGCATAAACCGTGTTGCTCTGCAGCGTGGCCTTTGAGAATGTGAGAAATGAAGTGGTGATTCGTATGAATCAAATAGCACTTACCTATGTATGTGTGTCTGCGAGCAATGCAGACAGAGACCATGGGATTATTACAAAGAAAAGTTTTGATAATCAGCTAAAATAAAGCATGGAAGTAAAGTTTAACAATGTAATTATATAACAGTAAGCTTTTAGATAACAGCCTGTTCTAACAACAAAATTTTGAGCTTTAAAACTACCTTGTATCCTTCGTATAATCAGACCCTCAACGCACCCAGCGCGCTGTAAACACTTGATCACCTTTTATCGAACAAATTAATAAATTTGCTATATTGCTTGATGTATTAGCAAGTCTAGCATTTTCATCTATAAGAAGAAGTAGCTGAATGATGAACGTTTCAGACGCTGTTTGTTTTTCCAGATGCTGAAAAGACTTAATTATACATGATTGGTGACATCAGGGAAACTAAAGAATGCCAACTAAGAGATCCCATGGATTTGTTTAATTCTGGGCAAGTTGTAAAAATATGTGCTCCTATGGTTCGCTATTCAAAGTAAGTAACTATCATGTCAGCTGTTTTCAGTGTATTTTCTCTGTTTAGAAGCTTGTTTCTCAAATGTATCTTGACTAAAAATGAATGATTACCTTCTCTTTTATTTAAGACAGAGGTAGCTGTGGGACATGTTTTATTTGCATATTTTCTTAACAGATATACACATGTAATATTCAAAAATCCCCACAATATTGTGTGTTAGGACAGCATTTTAGGATAGCTAATCAGGAAAATGCCTTAAGTATTTACCTCTTAATCTTCATGTGTCTGCAGGTTGGCTTTCAGAACTCTGGTTAGGAAGTACAGTTGCGATTTATGTTACACACCAATGATAGTGGCAGCTGATTTTGTGAGATCTGCAAAAGCCAGAGACAGCGAATTCACAACAAATAAAGGTATTATTTTTAATAAACCATTGCCTTGTCAGAATGTTTTATATAGACACAAAAGCCAAACTTGCCATGTGAATGAAGTCAGTCACATAACTTGACACCTGTTAACAATTTTGGTATACTGTCTGATTATAAAACCACAGAAATACTCTAAGTGAGAGTAAGCACAGTTCAGTGATAGTGGGTCAAATTAAATAGTGGAAAACCTTGTCTCCATCTGAAATCAAGGCCTTCAAAGTGATTTGTATCTGGGGGTTGACCGCACATAGCTGCTCACTCATTCCTCCTTCATTCTCCCTGCAGCACAGGGGGAGAATACAAAGAGCAAATGCAAAAAAAAATAATTTGTCAAAAAAGGTAGCTTAATACGTAAAGGAAAGAAAAAGGGAAAGAAACAAACAAGTTATGCAAAGGCAGTCACTTCCTACTAGCAGACAAATGCCCAGCCACTCTCCAAGCAGTAGCTACTCTGGAAAAAAATTCCATGTCCCAACCCACTTTTTTACTTTCCCTGTTGTCGCACTATATTAGGAATGGTGAAAGTACAAGAGAGACTCTCTAGCTTGGTTGCAAAAGAGAGGAAGTTTTATTTTTCAAGAACTTCTTTTATAGGCAGTTCTGAGAAGGTCCAAAAGGTAAAACTCTCATTGGTCATTAAACTAACACATCACCATCATTGGACAATTAAGAACACCACCCCTTGACTGTTTCTTGCAAGTAAACAACAGGGCAACAACAGCTGCAAAGGTTGTTTTCCTTCTCTAAGGACTGTTTAGATTTCTTCTTACTTGACAATTGTCAGTTTCCATACCCTATCATTCCAGTTTCCTTGCTGAGCTGGATGTTCTACAGTATGGAATATTCCTTGTTCCTATTGAGGTCAGCTGTCATAGCTTTGTCCACTACAAACTTCTTGCCCACCCCAGTCTGTTTGTTGAGAGCAGGGGGAAGCAAAGTGAAAAAAATGGGAAGTTCTATATGTACTGTGCATGTACTTTGCAACAACACCCAAAACAACTGTGAATTATGAACATTGGTTTTATCACAAAATCCAAAATGCAGCACCACACAGGTTACTATAAACAAACTTCAAATAAATTTGACAATTAACTCTCTCACAGCTAGACCAGGTACATGATGACAGTAAGATTATTTTTCTAGCAGTTGTTTCATGTGTGTTTCAGGGACAACTGTTTAACTCATTGCCAGGAAAAGTTTTCTAGTCTCTAATAAGAGTGAAGTGAAGGTGAAAAAACTAATAGACCAGCCATTGATACAGGGGAGTCAAGGACTGACAAAAGAAGGGTTTCACATGAGCCAGACTGGAAAGTGGAACGGGCTGTTGGTTGATGACTCAAGATACGAGCACAAGAAAGCACAAAAGAGGCTCCAAGTTTAAGCATGGCTGGGGTTGAGGGGGAGAAGCAAGGCTTCAGGCATGGTTCAAAAGTATAACCAGAACACATATTAAAAGAATTAAAACTTCTGTATGAGGACTTGCACAGTGTCATGGCCCTAAAAAGATCTGAAGTATGTGGGAAGAGGTGACAAGAACGATACAGATCTGTTGGCATGAGGTGGCTGCAGCAGAACAGTGTGACAAGGAATGTACGAGCATAGGCTGCAATTGGAAGAATGAAAATCACTACTAACATGCAAGGAAGATCAGCATGTAGGGTCTATAAAGTGGGATGATTTAGTCTATTCAGGCCTCAGAGTTTGTGGTTTTGTAAGTGTATATGTAATAGGGACAGTGTATTTCACTGTTTCAGCATTGACTATGTATTGTGGTGCATTATTCAAATAGAACAATTACAGAGAAAATTTGCATTGGAAAGCACAGGTAGACTCTTAAGAGTAGAATGCAACTTCAAAAATAACTCATTGTGTGTAAAAATAAATGGGTAAGACTATAACTGACTCAAATATGGCTCAAAGCTCCACTGTTACTAGTTTGCCCCCCTTGAATTTACTTACATTTCTGATCTACACAAAGTGCAGTGGCATTGAAGTTTTACAGGTCAGACGTGGAGTGTGTTCTGGGGTGTGCTGGGACAGGGAAGGAGGAGATGAAATGTTTTAGTGATGTAAACAACATCTTTTTCCCTACTCAGTTCTTTTATGCTGTCCTTAATTTTACAGGCCTGTAAAACATTCTGCCTCATGCTTTGACCAGATTATAGTATTTACATTATTAGCATTTATACTTTTCATGTGGTTTTATTTTTAACTTGGTGGCTGTTTGGGGATTTTGTCTTCTAATTAGTGGAGTAGGTTTGCAATTTATGTTTTACATTTTCTTCTGCATTAATGCTTTTTTGTTGTGTATTTCTCAGATAGAGGTTCTTTGTGGCTGCTGCTAAAAAATTTTATGTGGCTAGATTCAGTATTTTTATTACTTAATGCTCAACAAAGAGAAACTAGGCATGTGGGCTTATTTTAAAATATTAGTTATAACAATGGAAATCTCTTCAGCTAGAGGACTGTATTACAGTGACACTTTTGAAAATATGCATGCAATATTTTGCTTGCTAGAAGTTTTTTGGTAACTTCTAGAAGTATCTCAGCTTGATTGAGAAGGTACTGGTAGCCTTTCTTACTTAATCTCCACCATTTCAATTATTACTTATTTTCCTCTAAAATGGAAAAATGTTCAGAAAGCACTTGTGATCTCTCCAGTGCCAGGAGTGCACTTGCTTTGTGCATTTGCAGGATCATCTCTTTCCATCAGTGCTCAGATATCATGCTGCTGCTTCTTAACTACAGCAATTGTTTATATGGAAAGTGAGTGCTAAGACTGCTTGAGATACTTGAGATGCCTTTAATGTAATGCAGTAGCTGTAAAAGAGGAGAGCATGTTCCAAATGACCATCTGGCTCTCTGCAGGAGCTTAGTAAATCACAAGTAGTTCAGCAGACCCAAGCTGAGGAGCACCGGCACTTTCGTTTCTCACTTGAGACAAAGCTGCTAGAGCTGCTTCTGCACACGTGTGCTCATTCCAACTCTGCGTGTCACATTGTGGATAAAAAACAGACATGTTGGCACAGAAAAGGAAAATGATGGGCTGGGATGAGAAAGGGCAAAGCTTGTGGGTGTTTCAGTTCCTTCCTGAAGAGTTAATGGTTCTGTAAGCAAGTTTCCCTCTGGGCAAGACAGACAGCCGTGTCAGCACAGCAAAGGGGCAGCATGCAGATGACAAGGGGCAGACTAGGAAGGGAAGCTTGAAGGCTGCTGAAAATTAGAGAATGCCTAGTTTCATAGATTGTCTTTCTGAGATTAACAACTGACCAGTTTCAGTCAGAAAGTGTATGTTAAGCCAGCAACTGCATAGGACACCTATATTTGTCTGAATTCCCATCTCTATTAATAGACATAATCATTTAGTATGAAGCCAGCTACCTTTGTTTATTTGTGATTGGGAGCTTACAGAATCACAAAGCAGATGAGCTTGGAAGGACCTCTGTGGGTCATGTCCAGTCACCCTCCATGCAGGGTCATCTGTACCTGGTTGCCAAGACCATGGTCAGACAGCTGTACAATATACAAAAAAAAGCATTCAAAAATTTAGAACTCCTTCTTTTTATTTTCTGGGAATTTTTAAATCTCTAAATATATTTTCATTTGTGTAGGTGATCACCCACTGATCGTTCAGTTTGCTGCTAAAGAAGCACAGGTTTTGTGTGATGCTGCCCGTATCATCTGTCCTTTTGCTGATGGAATAGACCTAAACTGTGGCTGTCCTCAGAGGTAAAGTTTTGAAAAAGCTGGGTAAATATGATGAAATAATTAATGAGACTAAAGAATGACAGTCTTCCTATCCATCATAATTTCTGTCTTAACCTAAAAATAGATTTCAGGAGATTAAGAGCTTTTTAAGATGTCAGGAATGTCTATGTGCTAAGGCACTGTTCTGAGTGCTCCCAGACGCCTGTCACCATGGTGAGACTGGGAGAACTATATGTATTTGCCAAATTGCCTTTTTTAATTTCTGAGATACTGAGTGTTGGCTCAGAAGTGTACATCCCTTCTCAACAACTGTTCAATGTGCACTACCAAAAAGAGCTTGTTGCAAATAATTTGCAGAGTGTTTTGAATCATGATGTAGCAATTTCCAGAATAATGATGCAAGTCCGTCACGTCTCAAACATCTGCAAGTGAAGGATAGTATTTTAAATAAAATTATACAGATAAAGTACTAAAAATAATTTTTTCCATGTTGTATTAAATTTGTAAGTACAGTGAATTAGTGATGTACTTCTCACTTAAACTGATAAAGATTTTGTCTTGACAGTGAAACAGAGTAGTAAGATTCTTCCTGACTGGTTCAGTTGAGAACCATCTATTACATGTTTCTCAGGTAGTCTTTTTCTAAATGAAAACCTGAAAAATGTAGGAATGTAAAAGATAATATTACAGTGAAAATACTTATTTTTTCTATTATAATTAGGTTTTCTTGACTTAAAACTATAGTGTTTGAGAAGACTTTTCTAGAGTGATCTGAGACTTCTGCATGGAAGTATTGGGGTTTTTTTAAGTTAACTACGGTTAAGTGTGTCAAACTCTCTGTTCCTTTTAGGCCAAAAATACATACTTACATTTGAATCCTTTGTTTCTTGTGCATATTAGTTTCAAAATAACAAAAGTTAGTGTACTTTATGTGCCTTTATAAGAAAAATGATTTTAAAAACTGATGCTGTTAAGTGGAAGCAAAGGTTATTTTTGCCTTTGCAAAATAGTGAGACCAGTATATCAGTAAAATAATGTCCTCACTTGCACTTCAAAAAATCCTCCTTTTTAATCTGAACTTGTCATCTGTTTAAAAAAAATCCATGACAAGGAAAGGGGAAACATCAAATTATTTTTTTAAATGCATGCACTGTAGATTAAATTTTAATTTATCTTCCTTATGAGTCCATTCTGTGGACAGAAAATTGAACTTAAAGAGATTTGTAACTTATCCAAAGTTCTAGTAGCACAATGGAGACTGAACCAAGATCTAGAAGCTGTACCAAACTGCAAATAAATAATTCATCTACAGCCAGTACTACCTCTGTTTCCTTAACCACACATTCTGAAGTCATAAGGAAAGAAACTGATGTATGTAACTGATACTGCTTTGCATTTCTTCAAATGCAGAATATGAATGTTCTTTTTCTTTTAAAGATGGGCGATTTCAGAAGGTTATGGCGCTTGCTTAATAAATAAACCTGAGCTTGTTAAAGATATGGTGAGACATGTACGGAGTCAGATCGACAACCCTAAATTTTCAGTATCCATTAAAATAAGGTAGGTCTAACTTGCTGTTTGTGGTACATAGAATTCTTTTTTTTCCCTAAAAGAATTTACTGTAATGGTAATATTTGTAATTCTGTTAATGCAATACTACACGTTATAGTAAGTTCATTACATGTGAAGACTGCTGATTTTTTTGACTCAGATATCTGGGGCAGGTAATACAAAACTTAGAACTAGCACAGCCTTTGACTACTTACCCAGCTAACATACTGTAAGCTAGAGTTCTCTTGCAATCCAAACAACATGAAAGTACAAGTTAAAAGATTAGGGCTTCTATAAAAGAAAAGCAATGCATAGTCTATGTCATCACAAGGATTTGCTTTATGAGCTATTAGAGAGCAAAGTCACAGTTGCAGTTGGGTATAAAGGGATGGGTAACAAAACTGGGAACTGCTCCCACAGCTGCTGTAAGGAATACATTCTGCTTTCCTACATCAGCTTCTAAGCTTCTGTGGACTTGTTTTGTATTGCTTTGTGTGCAGCCCAGAGAAGAGAAGGCTCCAGGAGACCTTGCAGCAGCTTTCCAGTACCTAAAGGGAGTCCAGAAGAAAGATGGAGACAGACTTTGTGCAAGGGCACGATGTAACAGGACAAGGGGGAATGGCTTCGAACTGAAAGAGGGCAGGTTTAGATTAAATATTAGGAAGAAATTCTTTACTGTGGAGGTGGTAAAGCCCTGGAGCAGGTTGCCCAGAGAAGTTGTGGATGCCTATCCTGGGAAGTTTGTACGGCCAGGTTGGATTAGCTCTGAGCAACCTGGTCTAGTGGAAGATCTACTACCTCCCTATACCAGGGGCTTGGAACTGGCTGGTCTTTAAGGTTGTTTCCATCCCAAACCATTCTATGATTCTATGACCATTCTTGATCCATTATTAAACCATATATCCTATGTGGCTCTTGCTATTTGTCATTTAAGTTTCAACTCAGTTTCCAATCCTTCTGGAAAGGGGAGCTATTATAAATTGGATTTTTTTTTTTCCCCACAAAATATGCAAACTCATGGTGTTGATTTTAGATTTTTTGGGTGCCTTGCTCAATCTTCATAAAATTTACCATGTACATTACAGAGATGTAATTGGGAACTGTTTAAATTAAATACATGTTTCCATACACTAAACTCATATATCTTTAAAAAAACCCAAAAATCAAACACTGTTTTCCAACAGTAATATTGTCTTTATTCTGTTATTTATGGAAATCTATGATAATTCCTCCTTATGGAGGAGTGCTTTTTATACAGGCCAGGAAACTTACTACCTAATGCTTTCATTCCTTGCAATTTTAGGATCCATGAGGACTTAAAAAGAACAGTTGACCTGTGTCAAAAAGCTGAAGCAGCTGGAGTTTCATGGATTACAGTACATGGGAGAAGTATAGAAGAAAGGCATCAACCTGTACATTATGATGCAATTAAAATAATTAAACAAAGCATGTCTATACCTATTGTGGCTAATGGAGACATTAAAACTTTAAAAGATGCTGAAAATGTTCATCACTTAACAGAAGCAGATGGTAAGATTAAACATACTCTATTTTCTAAGTAAATTTACCAGATTTCAAGGTATTTATCTTGGATATAAGTAGGACAGGATTTGAGTGATTTCTCTCCTTATGGAGACAAATGAAAGGAAAACTCATAAGCAGAATCACTGGTAATCATCAGAACACTAGAGCACTGCTATTCAAAGCCACAAATAATTATTTCCGAGGCAAATTACAAAAGCTCTGTGATTAATTATGCTATCTCATCATTCAGTAGTGGAGTTCAGGGAGACCTTCAGACATTCTGTCTCTTTATGGAGCTGATCATTTTTTAAAGAACTGTAAACTTCCACTTGGAAATCTCTACTTCCTGCACATGGGAGCAGATTTCTTACAGTAAGAATACAGTGGAAAGGGGATATATTGTTAAGCCAGATGATTAACTTCAAGGACACAGGGATTGAACTTTCAGTCATAAAATTTGGGATTTTTTTGCACTTATTTAGTCACAGTAGATTCCTGCAACTGTCGTGTTTTCAAGACAATATGGAAATTTGGTTTATGTTCTGAAAAGTTAATCTGTATCTACAGACTTTGTGTCTTCCAGCTAGAGAAAAACAGGAAAGAAAACAGTACCTGTGGCAGGTTGCTGCTGACACTGTTGCTGTTTAATAGCAACAACAGAAATTGAACTGAACTGCCTGCCGCTTACAGTGACTTTTCCCCCAAATACAGAGCAAGAAGGAAATGTATAATAGAAAAAAATGTCATAATCCAGCTGACCTTCTTCAGTAGTAAAAATATTAAGCATTTGGTTTTTTCTGTCATAGACAATGACAAAAGAAATTTTTCATTTTTGATCAGCCTATTTTTTAAGAAAAAATTGAGTGTGATAGATTGTATGTTGATATGCATGCAGGAAAACAGAATCCCTTAATCACGGAAATATTACAGTAGAACTTGTATGGGTTTATCTGACAGTATGGGATTAGAGTTGCAAATACACTACATGCTGTTCAGAAAGATTTACTGCAGATCAAGAGTCCTAAAATTTACTTAATTGAGCCATTGATCTCCTAGTAGAAGGACAGTGAATAGACTGAGTTGCACAGAAAATTATTGGTTCTCTTTCCATCGTAATTTTATGTTATAAAGTCAATAAAGTGTGTAGCAAATAAAAACAAAGTATTAATTAGTTGCAGCTTCAAAAGAAGGGAAAAAATGCTTCTCTTGTGTTTTGTTTCAGAATTTCTGGAATGTGTTGATAGGTATTGTAGATACTCTGAGGTCTGCCTTGTTCAATGAATTTCTCTGATATAGCTGTAATACTCACCCCATTGTTCTCCCATTACCATCTGTAAGCTTTGGGTGGTTGTCCTAAGGGGTGCTGTACAAAGTCTACAGGAAGACTGAGTATAAAATTCAAACTAGAATGTAACTTACTGCTTTAATTTCTAATTTGAAGGTATAATGGTGGCTAGAGGACTCTTGGCAAATCCAGCTATGTTTGCAGGATATGAAGAGACACCTTTTCAGTGCATCCAGGACTGGATTGACATTGCTCTTGAACATGGAACTCCTTTTACATGTTTTCACCACCACTTAATGTACATGATGGAGCGCATAACTTCAAAACAAGAAAAGAAAGTTTTTAATGTTTTATCAAGTACCTCAGCAGTACTAGATTATCTGAGTGACCATTATGGTTTGTGGTAAATGAAAATATGCTAGTCCTATGTAAACCTGTGTTTTGCAATTGTCGATAAACTGAAAAAGTTTTAATTGGGTTTTTACTTTTCAGTCACATTTGTACACTATTTTCAATTTGGATGATACTTTATATCATCCAAATACTTGATACTAATATACTCTAGAGAATATTCAAGATTCTACAAATGTGGAATTCTGTTTACAGTTCGCTACTACAGAGAGGACTGATTATTGTAAGGCCCTAATAATTTAATTTTTCACCAGATAATTGCTTACAGCAATATGATTGCAGAACTAGGGCCTTTCTTACATTAAACCTCCTAAAATCAGGACTACTTACAGATAATGCCAGTAATTTCTGACTAAAAGAATACCGAGGGAGCGACTATAGAAGTTTTTGCTTTAGATAACATAAGCTTAAATCCTATCATACTATCCTTCTTTAAATTTGATGTTTCTTTCACAGCCTAAAACTTTGTAACTTACTTATAATTTAGAAAAATTCCATATTTTTTATAGCAAAAGAATCCCAGAACAGATAAACAACTATGGAAAGAAGGAAGAAGGAAAATGAAGAGGGAAAGAAGAAAAAAGGAAAATTAAGAGATAGTTTAAGTACAAACTTAACTGAATTTAAAGAACAAGACTTCTAAGTTCAATCAAACTAAATTCAGGTTTGTTTATCTACTGTAGAATAATTGTGTACAAGATTAAATCCCTATCATCTACCAAACCAGAACTTTTTAGGTCAAAGGAAAGCTGACAGATTCTCTCAGTGGGGCTCTTGCAGGCCTTTCTGCCTGCTGGCATGTTGCTTATCAAAGCATGACAGCCACTTGGCTTTGAATCATTATATAGGAGAGAAATAGTGAAAATTAGAACAAGATAATATTGTTACACACCAGCTGCATTTGTTCTGCAAGGGAAATTTCACAAAACTGTACAGTACAATTACTTGTAATCAAATAAATCTTTTCTTTATATGTTTACACAGAAATTCATACCAAAAATTGCCAGTTTTCTGACTGTGATTATTCTATGAACAGACATGTGAATAGTTCCAAATTTTCTAAATAAATTACTTGGTTTTGTATGCAGTTGTAATTTTTTTATTATACAGCAATGTGGAGGAGGGAAGGTTGCTTTTGATGCTACTCTCCAAACCTTTTCATAGTTCAGGTATCTTAAATTGACACTTTTTTTAAATGCAATAGCATAAAATACCTGATCATTTTTCATAATGAAAATGTCTGATTTAGGCATATTAACATAAGTTTGAAAGGCATGACCCAAGTCATCAAGTCCAGTTCACTATTCAAGGCAGCAAAGTTCCATAACTCTTGTGATATGCTTACCTTCCCAATGTGCTAACAAATGGAAAACTACAGACGTGCTTTGGTCTCCTAGGCCAATTGAGACAACCTCTGCAACCATGTTTGGTGTGTCTCCATTACTTCAGACAACTATTTTTTCACACTTCTGGATTGTAATATTTTCCTGACATTAGTTGGGCACAATTCTATATAGCATTCCAGGTAAAATCCCAGCAGTGTCTTCTGCAGTTAATATTACTTCTAATACTTCACTTTTCCTCAACTAATATTCATCATGTAAATTATGAGCTCCCAATTTTAGAGCAAAAGTGCTTCCAGCTGTATGACTATGTATTTTGTACTGCCAAATTTCCAGTATCAAGTTCATCCAATTATGTTGCAACACAGTTCTCCTCAGTTCTGAAATGCCTCTGGCCTCCTCTGAAGTAAAACTGTGCAACTGAATTGTAGAAGACAAGGACTTGTAAAAGAACTAACTAAGCCCTTTGTTGCCATTTTTTAAGAGTTTTATGATTTGGCCAGTGACTATTATATTTAGCAAACTGTTCCATTAGCCTCAAGGAGCAGAGAACAAAAAATTATTATTATATACAATCAACACAAATTAAAGGCTTTCTTTATTTTCTTTAGTGGTGGGAAAATTGAATTTTAGAGGCCTGGAAATACCTTGACCTATTTAGGAACTAAGTACTTCATGATTTTTAAAGGCAGCAGTTGTTGTGCCTGTGTGAGATTAATCACAGATTTCTGCCTGAAGTACAAAACCTAGGTTGCTGTAATATTGGTAGTAATTATGGAGTGTTTGATCTGGCCTTTTATGTATCATGAAAGTCAATGGAAGCTCATCATTAATTTTCAGGGGTGAAATGAATTGTACACATTCATTCTGAATTTTGTATGCATCTGAACATACTTCACTGTGTTTCCATAGAATAAACTGTAAAGTTGTGAGCCTTTAAGCTATACTTAACTAACTAGTTAACTAACTAATAAATACATAATAAATAAATAATAATTAGTTCTACTTAACTAACTAGTATACTAACTGTATACTGTTCCAATATACATAAATTGCTAAGGACGAGAGTTATTTAGCTACCAGTGTTGTTCTTAGAATATGGTCATATTTCTCATTATAAGACATTTGGATATGGAAAAATACTAATTTCCAGTTTAAAACCACTGGATCCTTCTCCTGTATCTGTTACTTTTAACATCACCCAGTGGTCAGTCTTTCTATTTTCTAGTTTTTAAATGTAACATAAGTACAAAGCAAGTAACATAAGATACAAAGCATTGTTTCCTATTTTATGTTCTTTGCCTCCTGTAACTGATCCTGTTCTTTATGTTAAACCCCCTGCACAACAATACTATAATCTTATTATATCTCTATGTTTTTGCAACATTTATCCTGCTGCAACAACCCCAGCACAAACTATACAATCCTATTTACTGCTTATTGTTAAATTTCTTTGGTCTCTTGGGTTGACGGTTGGGCAATGAATGATAAGGCTGTCACAGAAACCAAAATAGAACAAGTTTAAACTTCCCTTTTGTTTCAGAAGAGTTATTAGTTGATTTCACACCTCATCATCAAATATAGGCATTTCCTATTTCTGCTTCTGAGTATTTTGTCATCTCTCTGATGGAAGAGGAAAGTATTCCTTTTAACTATAATGTTTGGAGGTTTGTGGATTTTTTTCCCCTAGAACAGCTAGACATTATATATATATATATACACACACATATATATTTATATAGTATGGCATCATATTAATCATATGGTGGTTCAGTATAAGAGAGACAGCCTTAGATCAACAACCCCGACTCCTACAGCTTCAGTTAGAATTCCTTCCAGGAGTAGCAGAGTGCACTCAACAGAAGAGAGGTCTCACAGCTGTTTGCAGGAGACATCTTTTCAGATCTCATTTTAGGTTGGTGAGTAACATGCATCTGCTGCAGAGGAAGTGCAGACACACTCAGTGAGTCTTTCTGAGATCTCATGAATCTCCTAAAGTGAAAACACTACTGAAGTCTCTGGCACTGGGGACACGTGAACATAGTCCTATCAGTATGAGGCTATGCTAGTGGCAGAGCAGCTTACAGTGCTAGAAAGAGGTGAGTATGCAATCAGAAATGGAAACTTCTCTGTAATTAAAGGAAAGTCTTTATTCACGTTTTAACAGCTTCAGCGAAGTATAGTGGCTGTAGGCTAATAGCTAAAATGTAATAACCAGAACATCCTAAGAGGTGTTTTATCTATAGTGCTGATTAAATTTGTTTATGAAAATGTGTTTAGATGCCACTTAAAACTGGGGCTATTCCTACTGTGTAGTTTGGATTGAAATGACTCCTTATATCTGTCTCCAGTATTTGTTGTGCATAAACAATTATTTGGGATGTAACCTTTCATCCAGACATTGCTTGGCAGTAACTAGGAAAATGTTGACACACTGGCTCCATCCCCAGGCTGCAGCCCTGGGAAATTTTAAGTAAACAATTTCAGATTGTGAGCAGCTGCAAACAGCTCTGCTCAAAACTGCTTATACAAGAACTTCCCACTCCATGTCAGTTCCGATGGATCAGAGTAACAAAGAACTACTATTCACAGCATTTTATCTGTCTCATATTGATGGAACTTAATTAGGAAAGAATTCCCCAAAGCAAGTAGTTGTGTCAGAGTGCTGGTGATGCTCTTATAAATGAAAAGCTAGACTTGCCAATACATGAAGCAATATAGCAAATTTACTAATTTGTTCGATAAAAGGTGAGCAAATTTAACAGCACTGAGTGCATGAGGGTCACTGCCCTAAGCAATGCACAAATTCAGGGTTTACATGGTAGTCTTCTTATACCATTCTAGGCACTTCCTCAAACTTTCAGTTACTTTCCACTTGCTTTTCTTCATAATCAGCAGTTGTGGTTTTTGAAGCTCTGTTGTTGAGGTGGTCTGAGATGGTCTTCTGATGTCTCTTCCGCTTCCTATTCTTCTTCTAAAATATCTTTTTTCCACTAGCATTGTTTTGGTTATACAGTTTGTCCAAGAAAGCATATATATATTCTGCTAGTATACATTTTGCAAGTCCTCTTTCAGTCATTTCACAACTTACAGCCAGCATGTGTAAAAAAATGTCATCATAGGGCCTCTTTCTCAGCTATTACAAAACTTAAAATAAGCATGTTTAAAAATGCCTCTCAGGTCATGTTCCTCTCAGCTTACTTTCCTGTTTTTAAGTGTTTCCAAATTCTTCTGTACTCCAAAAAAAACCAATTTATAGCTTGTACAAAGAATAGTTTGAGACTTATACTACAAGGTATTCTAAAGCTTGTATTAATTACTTGTAGGTAATTACAATTTTATTGTTAAAACAAACTGCTAGAAGTTTACTGTTATATAGTTACTTTGTTAAACCTCACTTCCATGCCTTACTTTAGCTGATTCTTAAAACTCTTCTTTATAATAATCCCATGGTCTCTGTCTGCATTGCCCACAGACACACATACATAGATGGGTGCTATTTGATTGACACGAATCACAACCTGATTTCTCACAATGCCCAGGTAGTCTTCTTCCACTGACAGCACCTCAGCATCTGTTAGAATCAAAAGGAAAAAGTGATCAGAGGATGTCTTTCTTATGCAGGAGCAAAGAAGGAGAGTTGCACGGAAATAATGTGCTTGGAGCCTTGGTATGCTGATAAAAAGCATTGCGCAGGACAGTAGAACAGGGTTTTCTGAAGGAATACTGAGGCCCAAACAAGCCTGTTTGACAGTGAGACTGTTGTTCGATTGTTATTTGTACTGCTTTTATGAATACTGGACTTGTTTTCCTTGAGAAAACGATTTACTGGGTCTTAATACATTAATGTAGTGCAGCACATGGAGAAGGAAAGGGATGGACACACGCAGTATTTTAACTGAACTTTAGAAGCTCATGATAATGCTGGAGAGCAGAGTTGAAGTCCCCAGTCGATTAAGCTCGAGTCATGGAGCGGTAGGATATTCACAGCAGGATTCCGCAGCAAAATGCTCACAACCATTCGCTAGATGGGAAAAAGATAATGCTCATTTGAACCCTTCTCACCGCGTAGGTCCACGCGTTTCCCAACACAGGTGGGGCCCCTTGATAACTCCGCGCCCACCGTGGTTCTCGTCCCCCGCTCCGCAGGCGGCACCGCACGCGTGGCCGGGCAGCCGGGCCAGGCCGGGCCGGGCCAAGCGCGGCCT